TCTGGAAGGTTTTGATTCTTTCTGCTGTAGGAAAGACTATAAAACATTAATGCTTGGGATGTATCTCCAGCAATTCTGACTTACAACTTTTCAGGTGACATTGTATATTGTTTAATCTGCCCCTGAGAGACCAACACATAGTAAATGTTGAGACTGACTCCAAAAAGAAAAAAAAAAAAAAAACAGCAGAAAAAAGAGGGATCACACTGTGTCCCTAAGTCTTTACCTCTCCCTGGGGCTTCCTCTGAGGACTGTCTGCCAACTCACCATCATTCTAAACTCTCAGTGGAGGCTCCGTCCTACTGAGAAGCTCTGTAGCAAGTGTATCAAGGATGGAAGTGGTATATCTATGAGTTTTTAAAGACCCAAGTTCTGAGGGACAATCAGAGAAAAATGCCCAAGAAAATATAAGAAATAAATGCAATTATAAATACATATTTTGACCATATACTCTGTCACCTATAACACTTGTTAGCAGTACTGATGACAACAGCTCCTTACCACTGACAAGAAGGTTCTTCTAGAACATAACTAGGTGTTTCAGCACATATGCAAACACAACACTAGATTATACAAATATGGGTTTGAGCTAATGTTTTTCCCCCAAAATAATCCCTCAAAAAAAGTGCTGCACATTGTTAGGAGTGTAAGCTAATACAGCCATTGTGGAAGAAGAGTGGAAGTTCCTCCAAATTTTGAAAATAGAAACATCACTTTTCCATTTCTGGGTTTTCCATTTCTGGGTTTTTGCCAGGAAATTGAGTCAACATACAAAAGAGAGATGCATATTTGTTCACTATGACATTCACAATAGCCAAACTATAGAGTCAGCCTGCATGCCAATCAATAAATGAATGAAGAATGTGGTGTGTAAACAGTATTATCCAGCCATAAAGAACGATATACTATCACTTGCAGGAAAGTGGATGGATGTGGAAGACATCATATTATGTGTAATTGTAATTACAAGTTCTATGTGTTTCCTTTCATATATGGTAACAAAAGGACCTGAAATTAGAAGTATCCAGTTATGGACTAGAAAGGGAACCTGGGGAAGTAGAGGGTAGAAGGATGGGTAGACATGATCAATGCAAAATATACTCATGTATGAAAATGTCACAGTGAATCCCACTTGTACAGTTTTTATAATAAACTATAATGTGGGTTTTTTTTAATTATCTGCTGGAATGTAGTTTAATGGTAGCATGCTTGTCAAGCATGTGCAGGCCCTAGGTTTGATTCCCAGCACCAAGTAGGTGGGTGGGTGTGTGATTTAAACAGTTCTAACATAGTTTTTCAGACTACTGGGATCTTCTGTAATTGTTTTATTTTAAAGAACAATGTATTGAGAGCAGACACATTAACCAAATTAGTGCTAGTCTGGGTGTCTAATTCATAAAAATGACCCTATGAAAAGCAGTAAATAGAAACTTAAAGTACCAGAGATGTGACCTAGATGGTAAAGTATTTGAGTTTACTCCCTAGCACCACACAAGAATTACAAGTTCAGGGCTGGAGAGATGACTCCGTGGTTTAAAAGCACCAGCTGTTCTTGCAGAAGACCAAGGTTTGGTTCCAAGCACCAATATGGTGGCTAACACCAGTCTGTAATTCCAGTTTCAGGGGGTCCAATGCTCTCTTCTTGCCTCCATGGACATGTGGCACACTTACATACACATGGGCAAAACACTTATACACATAAAATAAATAATTTAAAATTTTTGTCAATTAAAATAAAACTGACCAGATACGTAAGACCACTCTTCCTCCTCAAGGGTATATAAGCCCAAGGTTTTGTGGAATTTTTTGGATTTTTTTTTATGTGTATGAGTGTTATGCCTGAGTATATGTAAGTGCACCCATGTCACGCGGTGCCCACAGAGGACAGAAGAGGGAGTCGGATCCCATGGAACTACAGTTAAGGATGGTTGTTAGCTACAATTGTGGGTATTGGGATTTGAACCCAGGTTTTCTGCAAGAATAGCCAGTGCTCTTAACTGCTGAGCCATCTCTCCAGCAATAACCCAAGGCTATATAAGTACTATAAACATTACTGCTGAGGAGACTCAGATCAATCAAGCAGATCAGCCAAGCTGCCAGTGCTCCTAAACAACCTCTCACCCACACTCCTGTGAGTAATCCCATTAAGCTCGACTTTGGCGGTATCATTACACTGGTTTGTCATTTGTTGGATCCGTATCTGGGATTTCTTTGTTTAGGTCTCCTGTCACACAGCACTGGAATTACAGCTGTGTGCTGCCATGCTCCTGACTTTTACATGGATGCTAGGAAACCTGAACTCAGGTCCTTGTGTTTGCTCAGGAAGCACAGTAACAACTGAGCCAATACCTTAGCCCAAGATAATATAATTAATATTATAAAATTCATAAATATAAGTGTACAGAATGAATATTTTTAATTCTTTGTGCTACAGCTGAGAATATACTCAGTAGTAAAGCACTTGCCTAGCACACAGAAGTTCCTAGTTTCCATCCCTAGGACTGAAAAAAAAAAAAAAACCTGTTGTTATAAAAATGAGTTATTGATACTAGGCATAAAATTTCCTGTGATACAAGACCTGCACAAAATTAAACAGATGAAAATCCAGCACAGAACTGTGGAAATGGGCAGCAGGCCTCAATCTTAGATGAAGAACTACTGACAGATAACATCCTGCTAAGTGAGGAAGAGCTGAACTTCTAAAGGGAGGAACTCTAGATAAGCTGACTTGACCTCAGTGGATGAACTTGCACTGAGGGACTAACGTGACTCAATAGGCCTTAACACAAATGACAGAAAGCCTGAATTCCAATGGGGGAGGGTGCTATGAGAGGGTGCCAGTGGGGAAGGGGGTATAAATGTGATTAAGATGTTCTGCATGAAATACACAAAAATTCAATTAAAAATTTACAAAAACATTTCCTGTGATAGATCAGACACATCCAAAAAGTGCTATCTCAAACAAGTAAGCTGTTAGATGACTCAAAAAGTGATCTTCATAATAAGGAAAAGAGTTATCACTTTTATTAATATGAGTAGAAAGATAAAATTAGTTCAAAAATATTTCTAAGTATGCTTTTCTATAATATGTAATTACTAATGCCTATGTTTATCTAAATTTACACATTAAATGTTATAAGTAGACATAAGACCATTCATCTTCAATTTTTTTTAAGATGGTACCTTTCAATTCCTTTTTTATTTTTTAGTTTCAATGTTGGTTTTTGCTTTCATTTTTGTTTTGCTTTTTAAATTACATTTCTTTTTTTTTATTTTTATGTGTATGTTGCCTACATGTGTATAGGTGCATTCCTGTCATGCAATGTCTGTGGAGGTCAGAAGAGGGTGTTCAATTTCCATGGAACTGGAGTTACAGATGGTTGTTAGCCACCATGTGGGTGCTGGAAACCGAACCCAGGTCCTCTGCAAGAACAACCAGTACTCTTAACCACTAAGCTATCTCTCTAGCCCTCGTTTTGCTTTTTGAGAGAAGGTCTTACTTTGTAGCCCTGGTTAGTCTAGAAACTCACTATATAGGGTCTGGAGAGATGGTTCAACGGTCAAGGACACTGTTCTTGCAGAAGACCCGGGTTCAAATCCCAGAACCCACATGGCAGCTAACAACTGTCCACCACTCCAGTTCCAGAGGATCTGAAAGCCTCGTCTGTCCTCCACGGGCATTGCACGGCACAGTGCACTTACCTACATGCAGGCAATACCCGCATACACATAAAATAAAAATAATAAGTAAAATATTTCAAAGAAAAGAAGAAAAACAACTCACTATATAGACCAGGCTAGCCTTGGACTTGTAGCAATCCCCCTGTCTCTGTCTCCTGAGTACTGAGATTACAGGCATGTACCATCTCGCCTGGCTCCAACTCTTTTCTGAATTAGGCAGGGCACTTCCCCATATACAAGTGTTATCTGTAATTATGTCTTGTATAGGGTTTCTGTTGTAAATATTTGACAACATACATTATTTTTATGGCAGGAAGAGGGTATAGAATTTTATTTTAGTTCATCTTAGAGTATGCAGGAGAATGGATGAATGGGCAAGGAATTTCTGCTGAGTACACTAAGGAATTGACATGAATATGAATCTAGATTTCCATAGGCAGTACAGGTCTGTTAGAGCTATCCACGTGAAGGGATTTGTATAAGTTCTTAGAGAGCCCATTTCAAGTTTTCTGTTGGTTGGTAACTGAAGACCTGAGTGATCACTTTATTTTACCTTATGATTTACTTTTATGTTGAGACATTTGGGAGGAATTGAACTTAGATCTCAGACGTTAATATAATTCTGTGGAGAAAATAAAGTCATCTCATTTAACACTTATGCTTGTACCTTAGGAAAATTTGTTGGTAGAAAAGCATTACTTTTAAAGCAGGCATAGAATGTCTAAAATCATTTGGTATGAACAAAGAATGATGAGTGAAAACTTGATATCCACATATAATTTTCCCTGTATCGAAGGGCGAAAAACTGAAAGAACTGGGGAGCAGCATCCCAAATTCTGTAGAAATGAGGAAAGAGGCAGTGGACAACAGAGAACTCTTAATTGTTCAAAGAACTCAGAGAATCTCTATCCCCTCCCCCACACCCCCCTGCCAGAATGCTGAGTTTCAAAGACTGAGCAGGTTAACAGATAACAGCTGTACGTGGCCTGGGGAAGATGAAGGATCATTTGACTTATAGTACTGGCTAAGTCATTACAGATCTACTGGTTCACCACTCCTTGAATCTCAAAGGAACTTATGAAGGAACACTGAAGAATTTTCAGGTGAAGGGAATTCCTGTACTATATAGATCCTAGTGAAGACCAACAGGGAAGGAAGAACAGGAAGAGACACAACCTGAAAGTCACAGGATTTCATGTTGGACAGCAGCCACCCCTAAAGGAGCAGGCACAGATCTCTCCTGTGTCGAGGAAAATCTGCCTGTCAGGGAGAACGGCTAGTGACGGGCATAGATCCCACATTATCAACAAGTTTGGGCCATGTCAGTGGTGGCATCATTGAGAGGGATTGCTTCCATCCTGCCTTTTTTACCAACAAGCCCAGTGACTTTAAAGGAAGTTAAGGTAACACCTCAGATTTGGGTTTCCCATAAGTGGAATTTGAGGCTGGGACTAGTGTCAGGACACCTATCTGTCGGGTTAGGAGTGTTGATGCTATTAATTTTTCTGCCAAGCATGTACTGTCAGCTGGAATCAATGTATTATTCTTTCCATGAAATAATCATTCCTAAGAGGCTAACAGTCCAGGAAAGGGATAAGCCAGTAGAAAAGCTCTCCTACATGGTATTGATGCAGGGCCAGAAGCAGCTGGTTCACCTGAAGGTAAAGAGAGACTATTTTGTGAATGACTTTCCAGTCTACAGTTACCACAATGGCATGCCAAGGCAAGAAATACCTTTCCTCTCACAGGACTGCCACTATGAAGGCTACATCGAAGGGGTGCCAGGCTCTTTTGTTTCCGTCAACACCTGTTCAGGACTCCGGGGAGTCCTGATTAAGGAGGAAACATCCTACAGCATTGAGCCCCTGCTCTCCTCCAAAGGGTTTGAACATGTCCTGTACATCATGGTACGTCAACCTCGAGTCTTCTGCAGTGTTACTTCCAAAGACAGCCAGGCGGTTGCCAGCCAGCAGCAAAAGAGCAGGAAGCCTCTTGACAACTTGTGGTCACACACCAAGTATGTGGAGATGTTTGTCGTGGTCAACCACCAGAGGTTCCACATGTGGAGAAGTAACATGAGTGTGACTGTCCAGGCAGTAGTGGACATCATTGCTCTGGCCAACAGCTTCACTAGGGGAATAAACACAGTGGTGGTGCTGATGGGAATGGAAATTTGGACTGAGGGTGACCTGATTGAGGTCCCAGTGGACCTGCAAGTTACACTCAGGAATTTCAACCGCTGGAGACAGGAGCAGCTCTGGAACCGGGCAAAGCATGATGTTGCCCACATGATCGTCGGGCATCAATCTGGAGAGTACTCAGGCCAAGCATTTCTCGGTGGCGCCTGTTCAAGCGGGTTTGCTGCGGCTGTCGAGTCCTTCCATCATGAAGATGTCCTCCTCTTTGCAGCGCTCATGGTCCATGAACTTGGGCACAACCTGGGTATTCAACATGACCTCCCGGCCTGCCTTTGTAAAGATAGGCACTTTTGCCTCATGCACGAGAATATCACTAAGGAAAGTGGCTTCAGCAACTGCAGCTCTGACTACTTCCACCGTTTCCTCCAGGACCACAAAGGGGCCTGCCTATTTAATAAGCCCTGGAGCCAAAGCCACCAAAGGCACAAGCGCAGAGAAGCCCAGTGTGGAAATGGTGTGGTGGAGGAAAAGGAGGAATGTGACTGTGGTTCTGCTTGTGACAGTCACCCATGCTGTGAACCAACATGTACACTGAAGGAGGGTGCAGAGTGTGGTGATGGGCTCTGCTGCCATAAATGTAATTTCAAAAAGAAAGGGGTTTTATGTCGTCCTGATAAGGATGTGTGTGACCTCCCAGAGTACTGTAATGGTACTTCTGGAGAATGTCCTGCAAACAGCTACAAGCAGGATGGCACACCATGTGACAGAATTTATTATTGCTCTGGGGGTCAGTGTAGGAATCCCGATAAGCAGTGCACAGATATATATGGGTATCCTGCAAGGTCTGCCCCTAAAGATTGTTACATTTCAATGAACACCAAAGGGAACCGGTTTGGCAACTGTGGCCTTACCACTGGGTCTAACTCAGGATATGGAATGTGTACCGATGATGATATATTTTGTGGAAAACTGATATGCACAGGTGTTGACTACTTGCCACCAGTCAAACCACAGCATACACTGATCCAGGTTCCTTATGGAGAGGACTGGTGCTGGAGCATGGATGCCTATAATACTACTGACATCCCTGATTATGGAGATGTGCAGAGTGGCACTTACTGTGCCCCAAACAAAGTCTGCATGGATTACACCTGCACTGATCACACCATACTCCAGTACAACTGTGAACCACAGGACATGTGTCACGGGAAGGGAGTGTGCAACAATTTAAGGCACTGTCACTGCGATGACGGCTTTGCCCCTCCTGACTGCAGGAGCCCAGGAAATGGGGGGAGTGTAGACAGTGGTCCTGTTGGAAAGCTACTTGATCAAAATTTTAGTGTATTTTCAAGTAGCAGTGGTGGTAAGCGGATGGAAGAGGATGAGATGGACATGAAAGTGGTACTGCTTGTAGTCCCTATATTTCTTGTCCTATTATTGTGTGGTCTAATGCTAATCGCCTACCTCTGGTCTGAAGTACAGTCAGTAGTGGGCTCTTCAAGTTCTTCATCAACCTCACTGTCTGAAAGCTCAACTCCACCAGAGCAAAGGCAACCTGGGCCAGCAGAGAAAGCACCACCCCCACCAGCAGGGGAAGCACCACCTCCACCAACAGGGGAAGCATGAACCAGTTTTATTTAAAGTTTTCTCATGAATCACTGCTATCAATCAAAACACAGCATACACTGATCCAGGTTCCTTGTATCTTCAGGGCAATTTTGATACACTGGGAATGGTTTTTCAGGGCATGCTATCTCTATCTGCATTGTTTATCATTTATGTGTTATCTGTATCTATATTGCTGTCACTGAGTATTCATCTCAGTACTAATTGCTCTTATGTTATGAACTCTTTAATGGGATCTGAATATTCTAATTTGCCCTCTCAGCTATTGTTCATAAAATGGTGGTGATTTTAAATAAATATATATAAAAGGCATTTTTTTCTTTTTTATTTATTATTTTTATGTGTATGCGTATATTGCCTGCAAGTAGGTAAGTGCACCCGTGTCGTGCAATGCCCGCAGAGGACAGAAGAGGCTTTTGGATCCCCTGGGACTGAAGTTATGGACAGTTGTTAGGTGGCATGTGGGTGCTGGGATCAAACCCAAGTCTTCTGCAAGAACAGTCTGTGTTCTTAACCAGTGAGCAATCTCCCTTTTTTTTTTTTTTTTTTTTTTTCTTCCTTTATATGAAGTATCACTCCAGACTCTGGTCAGTCTAGTACTTGAGAAGCTTTGCTTTGGAGCTTTCTGGTAAGGGCTAGACCTCACATACTCAGTCTAAGTACCTGGGCAAAGGAAGCCCATGTAGGTAAGGAGCTCCTGGCACAGTGCTGAGTTCTTATTTGAAGAATTTATTTTTTTTCATTTGATTTCTCAGTTTTTATATTGAATTCAATTTTTTAAAAAGATTGATTTTTGTATGCTTATCTGCCTGCATGTATGTATGTGCATCATGTGTGTGCCTGGTACCCCTAGAGTCCAGAAGAGGGTGGTGGAACCCTTGGAACTGGAGTTACAGTTGTGAGCAGTCATAAATGCTACATTTACTGTCTTAATCTTCCCAACTGTTCTACTGCAACCCTTTCACACGCATAAGGAAACAAGTAAAAAGAGCAGTAGTATAATACCCCAAGTGTAGCCAATCATTCTTTTGCTGTCTCATGAGCCTTTTACTTCAGAAAAGAGGAGGGACATTTGATAAATCTGGGATTGCCCAGAACATATCTTCTTTCTCAAGTGGATACTGAACTCTATTAAGAACTTACTGCACTGTATAATCTATTATGAGTAAGTGTTAACAATGAACCATTAGCCGGGAATGTCGTTCAGTGGTAGTGTTCTTGCCTTGTATGTGCAATGTTCTGGGTATAGTCCTCAGCACTGCAACATTAATAGCCATGTGGAGAACTGCCACAAATTTAAGGCCACCCTGGGCTATATAGAGTGAAATCTATCTCAAAAGTGGGCAATTGTATAATCAGAGAACCATTAACAATTCTTGCTTTGCTTTGCTTTGCCAAGTGAAAGATGCTAGAGTTTTTAGGAGGGCTATTGGAAGAAGATTAGAATCTGGGTACATTGTAATACCTCGTCATACTACAATACCTTACAGAGCTGAAAGGATTTGTTGACAAAAGATACAGAGTACAGGAACACAGCTGAGAATGTGGACACTCCAGTGGCCATGCTCTGAACACCTGAAGGCTGAAGCTGACCTTTACTGGGATGGGGATGAGTGTGGTAAGCACAGACATGCACATGTTTAGTATGAGGTGCCTACTGAATACACAATAGGCATGTCCACTAGGCAGTAAGATGACTGGATCTGGAATTCAGGAGACAAGTCAGCCAATGATGTGTATTTGAGAGTTGTAGATGTCTAGCTGATTTCAAGCCATGGGATTGGTTGGCATTGTGTAGACAGACACCGTCATGTGTACATGTCGCTAAGATGAGAAAGATTCTGGAAAGAGGTCAGAAAGTGTCCAGTGTGGTAGGGAGAATTCTGTCCTGAAAACTAAGAGAAAAGTATTCTAGAAGAGTTTTACACTACAAACTTAGCCTACCAGCCCAACATTCTTGGTTCTATCTTTAACGCGTATCCAGAATGTGGCTTTTCACTAGCACCTCAAACTCTCCAGTGCTGAACAGGTCAGCCTTGACTCCCTCACACACAACTGCAGAGGTCACGAACTAATAATCTCTCTGCTTCAGAACTGCAAGAAAAATAAAGGTTTGCATAAGTAGGCAGAAATGGAGGGGATTTATCACTACTGGATCAAGGCTATAAAGAAATAGCTAAGGGAGACCAAGCATAAGGGAGACCTAAATAATCAAAACAGACCCATAACAACCAATGAGATGGAGTAATTAAAAATCTCCCAGCTAAAAAGAGCCTGGGACCAAATGGAGATAGCACAGAATTTTACTAGACCTTCAAAGAAGAACTAATAGCAATACTCTTCAAATTATTTGGTAAAATAGAAAATGAAGGACCACTCTCAGAATCCTTCTATAAAGCCAGCATTACTCCAATACCAAAACCAGGCAAAGATCCAACAAAAAAGAAAATTATAGGCCAGTCTCTCTGATGAACACAGATGCAAAAAATTCTCAATAAAATTCTCACAAACCAAATACAAAAACACATCAAAAGGAATGAGATTACCCAGACTCAGAAGACAAATGTCACATGTTCTTTCTCATAGCTAGATGCTAGCTTTGAAATCTTAGATATGCATGATCTGATTTGAACAATCAGAAAGAGGTCAGGAAACTAATAAATGGCCAGGTGGTAGAATGCAGTAATATGAAGTCAGAAAGGGGAACAATAGTTTAGGAACGATTAAATGGGGTGGAGAACGGGAGGACAAAGCAGAAGAGGGAGCATAGGAAGGGATAAGTAACACTAAAGACCTTTAGAAAAAGCCATGAGGAAACCTCCACTACAGAAGTTTTCTTAAAGTATATAAATATACATCATAAAGAGACTAAGAGGGGTTACTCTATAACCGGGACATTGGCCTTTCTAGACACCATAGGCTAATGGGGAAAGAAGAAAAAACCTTCAACGCCAGGAATGAACTCCCTCTCTTGAAGCTGTTGACCAGGGGTTCCATAGACTCTCAAACAAACCTGGCCATTGCCCCTGCTCTTAATTATCCACCAGAACTGGACGGTAAGACCCAACAATGAAGACACTACATACATGAGCTGTAGAACAAACAAGGAGAAATCAAGCTGGTGCTGACTTCAGAGCTTCAGCTCCACTTCAGCTAATGTTCATAGTGCAGGAAGGTGCTCCACAAGCTACCAGGAAGGGAAAAATCATCACCATCCTTACCTAGCTGTGAATCCTGTGAACTACAACAACTGGCCTGGCAAGATATGCCCACCAGTCTCAAATGGCACAAATATGGGAGTAACGAACCACTTTTTAACTGGATTTAAGGTCCACTTCCCAGGATGGAGCCCATACCTGACATATCACGTTTAGGAACCTGAGGCTAGACAGGTCACAAGACATAGGGGAAAACCTAATACTAGTTTTCCACTAAATAATTGTAATAAAATGACTTAATGACTTATTGTTACACCCAGAGATGGTACATCCCTCAGCTCTCACCAGAGAAGTTTCCTTATGCAATAGATGGTGATTAACTACAACTGGCCAGCATGCAGAGAACAAGAGGCTATAGAGTGCTTATCCCTGAATAGGACACCTTATCAAATTTCTTTTCCCCAAGGCTCAGGATTATTGCAGAAGAGGGGGTGGAAACACTGTAAGAGCTAGAGGTGGTGGATGACAATATGGAAACAGTTTTCCAGACATTTGGTCAGTTACTAATATAAATTCATAACAATGATGACAGAATTCATGCACAAGTCCCATGCAAGCTCAAACCAGAAAAAAAAAATCCAGCATAAACATGAGAAAGTAGGTAAGAAGCTCCAACCCCACCTGAAGACATTGTGGCAACAGGTGGGTGCTGGGAGGGGTAGAGACAGTCTTTTTCAAACACTTGGTAGGTTAACCAGGCTCCAGTGGATAGACCCATACTGAAGGACGTTTGGAGACACAAATTAGACTCTACATTAAATTCGGGGGGGGGGGCAATTATGGGGATGGGGATGGAAGTAGGTAGGGATAAGGGAGGACATCTAAATACCATCAAATTATATCGCATGAAAACCACAAAAATTCAATTAAAAAGGAAAAAAAAAAAAAACAAAAAAAAAACCCGAGTTCCATCCCCAGAACCTCCACAAAAAGCCAGATGTGGTGACACTTACCTGTAATCCAGTATTCCTACAGAAAAGTGGGAGGTGAAGACAGGAGCATCACCTAGACGCTCCCAAGCCACCTAGCCTGGAGTACACAGAGTGGCAGAAACAAGAGATACCTGCCTCAACAAGGTGGAAGGCGAGAACAGAATCTTTAAAGTTGTTCTCTGATCTCCCTGTGGGCACCATGGCATGTGTGCATACACTCGCGTGCACACAGACACCATACACACAATACTGCTAATAATAAATCTGAAATCATATTTCTTCACAGACCATAAAATAAAATAATAAAATTGCAAATAAAAAAGAAGAAGGCATAGTATACAAGCACCTGGAAACTGAATAATGAACAATTAAAGAAATTAAGAGAAATAATTTGTAGAAACAGATGCAAATGACATCACCACATATCAAAATTTATAGACACAGAAAAAGTAGTACTAAGAATGAAATTCTCAGCAATAAATGCCAACACAGATCTAAAATAAACAACCTAAGAAGCACTCAGATTTAGAAAACCAAGTACAAGCTAAACCCAAAGGTGGTAGAAGAAATAAGAAAGATTAGAACAGAAGTAAAATCAAAACTAAAAAAAGACAATGTAGAAAACCAATGAAAGGCACCAGGCTTGGTGGCACACACCTTTAGTCCCAGCAGTCGGGAGGCAGAGAACTCTGTGAATTCAAAGCCAGCCTGGTCTACATAGTGAGTTCCAGGCCAGCTGGGGCTACAGGGAGACCCTGTCTCAAAAAGACAAAAAAGAAAAAAGAAAAAAAAAAGCTAAAATTTTTAAAGGATAAAAAAATTTAACAAAGCTGTAGCTAGAATAACCAAG